TGACACCATTCTCGAACACAAGAGGCATAAAAGATGTTTAGCAAAGAACACATGTCCTTCTGCTGTCAAAGTCCTAACAGGGTCAGCTCATCTGGACATATGCAAATGAGTTCAGCAAATTTCTATTCAGGTTGGCAAGATGGCTCAGTGGGCAGAAGCACTTGCTACCAGGTTTGATGACCTGAGGTTTCATCCCCAGGAGCCACATGTCAGAACAAGAGAACTCATTCCTGTGGGCTGTCCTCTGACATCCACACATGAAAGTATCTATTTTAAAAGATAAAAAACAAACAGGCAAACAACAGCAACACAACCCAAGACAACAACAACAACAAATAACTGCCAATAGAAAGCGGAGAATCTCTACCTGTAATTCTAGCACTCAGGGAGGCAGGGGCAGGTGGATCTCATGAATTTGGGGACAGTGTGGTCTACACAGAGAAACCCTGTGTGGGAGGTGGGGAGGGAAGGAAGCAGAGAATCTGAGGGGCAGATAAACTATGGATTTGAACGAAGAACAATAAGATGCAAATAAGAATGTGCTAAAAGCTCCTTTAAACGTTATCTGGATCCTATATATATTTCATTTTACTATTAAGACAAGGTCTAGAACTCACTACGTAGTAAACCAGGTCAGTCTTCAACTCAGAAATCTGCTTCTCTCTGCCTCCTGGTGTTGGGATTAAAGGTGTGCACCAGCACCGGCAGCTCTTTCTGTACTTTAATACATTTTTTCTGTTGTCACAAAGGTGAGCTTCAACTCCATATTGGTTAAAAAATAAATTCAATACATTCAAAATTAATTTTTGGTTTTTCGAGACAGGGTTTCTCTGTATAACAGCCCTGGGTGTCCTGGAACTCCCTTTGTAAGCCAGGATGGCCTCGAACTCACAGAAATCTGCTTGCCTCTGCCTCCTAAGTGTTGGAATTAAAGGTGTGTGCCAACACGCCAGCTCTTAATGTACTTTAATAGTTTTTTGTTGTTGTTGTTGTTATTACAGGCGAGCTTCAAATCCATACTGGTTAAAAAGAAATCAATACATTCAAAATCAACTGACATTTATTTATTTATTTATCCATCCATTCATTCATTTATTTTTGGCGTTTCTCTGTGTAACAGACCTGGCTGTCCTGGAACCCACTTTGTAGACCAGGCTAGCCTCAAATTCACAGAGATCAGCCTGCTTGCTGAGTGATGGAATTAAAGGTGTGTGCCACCACTGCCTGGCTTTAACTTAATTTTTAATATAGGGTCTTAAGTAGCCCCATCTGGCCTCCAACTTGCTATGTAATGGAGGATGACCTTGAACTCTGGTCCTCCTTCTTCCATGCTGGACCTACAGGCATAGGCTACCATGCCTGATTTATTGAAACAGTGTTACCCAATAGACCAGGCTGCCTCAAAACCACAGTGATTTGCTTCCAGGGTTCTGCTGCTATTACAGGTGTGAGGTACCACGGCTAGGTTGTTACTTTTTTTAAGTGACCTGTAGTAACTATTTTTGATTAGTACTGCTTTTTCTCCAGGACCAACTCATAACAAAGTAACTTGTTAATTCAATCATTAAAGCACTTTTTTTAAAGTCACCCAGGCTAGCCAGATGGCTCATTGGGTAAAGGTGCCAATGACCTGACTTCAATCCCTAGGTCCCATAAGACAGGAGGGCCGACTCCTGAAAGTTGTCCTCTGGTCTCCAGACACGTGAAGCAGCACAGAACCCCACCAACACATACAAATAAATGTAATATATACTTTTAAGATCCAATCCTTTATTAAGCAACAAGAAAATTATGAGTAATTTTTTAGATTTTAGACTTAAGAATTCCTTTGCTATTCAAATCAAAATGCAGACATCCTCACATTGTTACCATGGGTTTCAAAAGAATAATCTACATGTCTAAAAGCTATTTATAAATAAGGACAGAAGAACACACAAGCAAGCTGGAGCCTTTCCATGTCATTGTCTCTGGGATCCACGGAGCCGAGCCTAGTGTAAGCGGAAGGGCACTATGGCCAGGTTCCAGTCTAGATGCTTCAAGCTGAAGAATAAAAAGTTCAACTGTGCACACATTACTTGGCTCATAAAAAACAAAGGGTCACCATCTTAGACACTGAACAGGGCCAATGAGCTAAAACATCAGCAGTGATGTGGATATTTCTAAAACAGGACTTCTCAACATGTCAGGAGTGGCTAAGGGAGCTGGGTGATGATGGGTCGGCAGTTGGGAGCACTTGCTGCAGCCGGGCACGGTGCTGCACGCCTGTGATCCTAGCATCCAGGGAGGCAGAGGCAGGTGAATCTCTGCACCTGGTCTACAAAGCAAGTACAGGACAGCCAAGGCTGCACAGAGAAACCGTGCCAAAACAAACAAACAAAAAACATAAACAATAAACAACAAAACAAAAAGCACTTGCTGCTCTTGCAGAGGATCCAAGTACCTGTCCCAGCACCCATAAGCTGGTTCACAGGCACCTGAAACTCCAGCTCCAGAGGGATTCTCTCCTAGCCTCTTTGGGTAACTTAACTCATGAGCACACCTGCACACAAAAAATAAAACCTTCAAAAAACAGGGAGGCTAAGGACACAGGCTGCTCATTAGTTTGGGCTGCTTTTTGGTGATGTCTTGAAGGTGCCTTTCATGCTCAACACTTGATTTGCATCTCATTAATTCTCAGCAAGAATGGAGCCCTGAGGCAGTTGGCCCATCCCTCATCACTTAACGCCTGCAGTAGGGTCAGTCTACAATGAGGAACTGCACTTGTTCCCTGTCTCTATAAAAATTCCTGCAAGATTCCTCGAGGTGGGGCTTCTTCCTTCCTTACTGAAATGCAGATCAGTTTGGAGTAGTACCTACAACACACAATAAAAACATAATAACTCTGTAAATAATTATATATATTCATATGTGTGTACATATATCCAAGTCTTATGGGGCAAATGGCTGAGGTGACTTACTGTTTCCTCATAAAAACCAAAGACCTATTAAAACTTTCTTAGATAAACTACAAGAGAAACTTTCTTGAACATGTACTAGCAAGTGGGAGATACGCAAAGTGCTTTTATATTTCAGCTTCAATACTGACTGACATCCAGTGAAAGCCATCTTTCAGTTTTGTGACACTAAATGCAAAAACTGTTAACTCAAAATTTGTAAAGTTAAGATTCTCCAAAATAAATTATATTTAATACATTCAGTAATGAAGTCACCATTTGTTTTTCTATTCTGTCTCTAGTATTCTGGTTTTTCTTTGGATCGTATGAGAACACTTGCCTTTTCATAGTTTTTGGTTTCTGTATATTCTCCATTAAGGGGAGGTGTTGGGGGGGTGGTTGGGATCCCAAGGAATTCTTTCTTTTCTGTTCATGTCACGTGAGCTATTTGCTTCTATTTAGCAGAGGTAGGAAAATCGGCACCTCCTTCCTTCAATGACTTAAGAGTTATTCCTATGGAAATGACTATCTCACAACATTGCTGTTATCAGGGGACTTCAAGAATGGTTCAGTGTTTAAGAAAAGAGCATTTTCTATCCCAAAGAACATTAACTTCAAGACTCCTGCTAACAGATTCTGCACACCATACCGTCTTAATATATTTGTGATGAAAAGCTATTGCTTTAAAAAACGTTAACTATCATATCCAGAAATACCAATGGCAAAGAGGTAATTTGGAGTTCTTTGTTCTTTTTAAAAGGAACCAATACAACTGAAAATTTCCAGTTACACAGCTTTCGTAAAAAATTAACAAAAACCTAAGGATAAAACATGTTAAATGAACAACTTAAACAAACTGCATCATATTTACCCGGATAGCATATTTCTATTTTGTACTTTCAGCTACTTAGAATAAACACTTATCAGCTTTCAAATTCATTTATTGATTAATCTAAAAGAATTCACTGAATAAAATGCTTAGTTCCAATGTATCCAAAAGATAAAACTACACTGGGGTGTTTGCGGAAGAGTGTAGACAAGAGGAAAGACTCTACGATCCAGTTGTGTGGCTGAAGTTACACACGTGTCCCTATTCACAGTCAGCCCCGTGATTTGTCCACCGCCACAGACACCCACGCAGTACATGACGTCCTAGGATTGCCCAGAAAAACCTGGTAGCCCAGTGTGACCATGATTTTTAAGGGTTCTTTAAAACAACGTGGTCGAACAAAAAACCCCAAAGCAACTGAAAGACCTAGAATAAATGCCCCAGTTAGCGACTCCTTGGCAACTCAGATGCAACCAAAGACTTTGGTGGACGATTAGAATGAAACGTGCATCTCTCTCTTTCCGTCTCTCTCAAAACAAAACAAAACTATAAAGATCTTTTTTACTATTCTCTACAGTTCTGCATCTGCGGCATTCCACTCATTATCCCCGGTGGCTCTCAGGGAATCGCTTCTTTTAAGGCAGGATGTCAGAATGCCAAACCTCTTGGTCCAGATCGCTCCCTCCCTCCTTGGAAGGTGGGAGCATCATGCACTTAGATTATTGAATTGCGAGGATGGGAGTAGACCTGGTCTAAAGGGATGTGCCAGGTGGGCACCCCGGGGTGTGTGGTGTGATATCTGCCCTTCGTGCACCCCCAGAATGCGCCCCCTCCCTGGGCCTGCCCTGCGCCCGCGCGCCCCAGGCCTTGTCCGACAGCCAAGCAGCCAGAGGATGCCCCCGCCCCTCCCGTGTCCACGCAGCTGCGGCCCCGCCCCCGGCCACAAACCTTCAGGTCCACGCACCTGCCCTGCCTTCCCTCCCGCCCCCCGCGCGCAACCATCAAGCTGCAGCCGCTCTTCTCCTCGGCCGCCCGGGTATCTAAATGGGTCCGTCTCCGGCACCACAGCCAAATGGCTGAGCCTCCCTGGCCCGCTGCGCAGGACGCTCATTGGACCCTGCCCCCCGCCGCCGCCACCACCATTGGCTGGCTTCCGGAGTCTCGTCACTCGATTGGCTCGTGCTGCCGCCGCTCCACGCAGGAGCTGCAGGTCCCGCCTCCACGGCGATCAGGTTAGTGTGCGCCGCGGGTGCTGGGGGCTCGAGAACCGAGCGGAGCTGGTTGAGCCTCCAAAGTCCTAAAACGCGCGGCCGTGGGTTCGGGGTTTATTGATTGAATTCCGCTGGCGCAGGGTCCTCTGCAGAGAGAGAAAAAGAGAGAGCGCGAGAGATGGATATGGACAAACGGATTTATTTAGAGCTGCGGAACAGGACGCCCTCTGATGTGAGCATTTGCCAAAAATATCTCTGTCGGTCCTCTCTCCTACTTTGTGTTATGTGTGCGTGTGTGTTTCTGGGGAAGGCACTTTTCATGGAGAGGGGCCACGGGGAGGTGCGGGCTTAGGGTCTGACTGCGAATGAACTGCAAGGCTGGATGGGGGTAGTGCATCGGGGCATGTTCCGGCCGCCGCCACCGCTCCTGCCCTTGGTTTGTGACTGACTACCTGTGCGTGTGCTCCCTCGTGTGCGGGTACGGGTGCGAGGATGTGCGTGCGAGTGTGCACCCGGTGGGGGGCCGGCGGGGCGCACGCGTTCGGGTCGGAGGGAACGCGGCGATCTCACCCCCGTCCGAGCTCAGCTCCCACGACTCGCATCTGAATGGAAAGGATGATCGAGGGGAGGAGAAGATGGGCTGCCTCCTGGATTAAACAACAAAAAGGGGGTGTTGTTATATTTTAGAAGCGTAACCCCCTTTCCTCCCCCTCTCGCGCCTGCCCCCTCCCTTTGCCGTCTCTTCGCTCGCTAGCTTTCTCGCTCGCACACAATAAGTTTTGGGCTTCGCGAGTCCGGTTTAGTTTCTGATCAGTGTGGCCCTCGGCCCTCGGGGAGAGCGCTTGGGGGCCCGGCTGTTGCGGAGTTGGGAGATGGCTCGAGTTTAAAGCGCGTCTTCGTTTCTCTGCGGGGATGAGGCGAGAGGTGGGGAGCCATATTTGTAACTTTGTCGTGTTCGTGAACGCGCCCTTTCTCTCCCTCCCTCCCTTTCTCTGCCTGCCTTCCTTCTTTCTCACTCTTTCCACCCCACCTTTGGGCCAGATGCTGTCTTTTCTTCCTTTTCGCGGAAAAGGGGGGGGGGGTCCCTGGAGGGGGAGGGATTGTGGAGTGTGCAAATGCTCAGATAATCCTCGCGCCGCCCCAACCACAAGCGATCGCTAGTGCAAGTTGCCCAGAGGCTACATCCCAGTGAGCCCCTGGCCCCGGCTCCCTCCCCAGATGCTAGCCTTGGCACCCTGACGCCCCACTGGCACCAGCCATCCCACCTCCCGGTCCCTGCTTCTCCTGAGGTGGGTTCCTTGGCAGCCATTCGGCGCCCGGTTAATAAATGGGCACGGGAAACTTTATCAGGACCCGAGCTGCCCGGAGGTTGTGCCGCTGTGTGGACCGGTCCGGTCGACATTCTTGCGGGGACGGCTGGCACGCAGCTCTGGGATGGGCAGCTCGTCTGGACGTCGCCGTTATGGATTGGGCAGCGGCGGGAGTATGGCAGAAGAAAACTTAAACCGGTGGGAACAGGGAGGCTGCGAGCGAGCCCACTGCCAGGGGAAGTGAGGGTGGTGGGTGTTGACGCGAACGCTACTGTTTATTTTTGTCTCCCTCTCGCTTTCACACCGTCGTGCTGTCTGCGAGTTGGCCCATCCGAGAGACCCTAGGTTCTAGGATATAAACCCTGGTCGACTTCCCCTAGGCGGTGGAGAGCAGAGGCTGGCAGGCGGGAAGATCCCGGGTCCAGGCTGAGTGCCCGGGGTTCGGGTGAGTTAGGGGCTCGCGCAGCACGCTGTCCCGACCTGTCGCCCCTGCAGCCGCTTGGCCCCTCGATCCTGACAAAGGCAGGCCTCGTTTCCTCTTTTCCTCTAGTTCCTCCCTGCAAACCTGAGTAAGACTTTTGAAAACAAGCTCCTTTCTGCCGTCCGCCCATCCTCAGGCAGCCGTGCACTGGAGACGTGCTCCGGCCCTACGGCGCGCAGGGCGGGAGGAGGGGGCGCCGCCTGCCGCGGGACTTGCTGCTGGGCTGCCCGGCTGGGCGGGTGGCGTCCCGACCCAGCTCGGGTGCCCGATCCCGAGGGTGGAGGGGGCTGGGTGTGGTGCTGGGGGAGGGGGCGGAACGCGACTTCCCGCGTACTTTCCGGAAGACCCCTGTGGGTGACTGGGGGGCTTCGGGGTCGCGGCGAGTCGGTGCGCAGCCGCGTGGGGCCGGACTGTGCGATCTGCAGTGCTAGCCAACCCGGAGCGAAAGGGAAAGCGGGTCGAACCGGCTCTTTAAACTTCCCCGAGTGTGTGCGCAGGGGGAAGGGCGGGCGCTCTGGGCTGGGCGCGATTTCTCACGCTTCGCCCCCTCGCCGCGAGTCCGCGGCCCACTCGCCGGCCTCGGGGCTTCTGGCGGGGTGGGGCGCGCGGGTGGCGGGGGAGGGGGCACTTAACTGCGCGTGGGGGAGGGGAGGGCAGAAAGCTCTCGAAAGAGGGACAAAAGGGGTGGGGGAGGAGGAACTGGTTTTTTTTGTTGTTGTTTTGCTGGGTTTTTTGCTTTTTCGAATAAACGTTTTTTGGGAAACAGATTGTTTTGGGAAACCGCCCTCCCCAGGGTACCCCCCCACTCACCCACCTCCTGCAACCTCTCTCCCAAGCCGCATCTTGAGGACTGGTGGCAGCGACGGCGCCGAACTAGGACGAGCAGCCATGTTTCCCGGGGCGCCGGCGGCCCGCCCCTCCCCCACGGCGGCCGCGGACTCGGAGCGGCGGGCACCGAGGCTGCCGGCGGTGGGGACCTGGGCGCACACAGGCGCAGCAGAAGGCCGGAGCCGCAGGCCTGGGGCCCCGCTCGGGAGAGGGCGCGGCGTGCCGGGGCCCCTCGACCGGCTCGGATCTGCGGGCCCTTCCCTGCCCTCGCCGTTTGCATGGCGAGGCCGGTGGGAGACCTAGCCCCAGGTTCCCAGCCATTCTCGGGGGCACGGGCGGCCGTCCCCGGCTCTGTGGCGGTGGCTCGCCAGCCTGGCGCCGAGCTGCCATTTTGTCACCGTGGCTGTTGTCGCGCTTGGGGTGGGGGGAGGCGAGAGTCTTGCGCCATCGCCCCGACGGCCGCCCTCTAGCGAGGTGCCTGCTGGCGGAGCTGGCACCAGGGACACCCCCACCCCGCTTTTGCATTCGGCCTTTGGGGACTCCTACCCCGCGCCCAGGGTCTGAGGACCCCGAAGCTGTCGCAGCTCTGAGAAGGTGATGGTCCCCTTAGCCAAAGCACCCCCCTTCCCGCCCTCAGTTCGGTTTTCAGCCGAGGCTCCCGCTGCTCTCGGGCACGTATTGAAAGGCGGCCTTGAAGAGATCGCTCTGGTGTTTGCGCCTTAGGCGGAAACGAGAGGGTGGTGTTTGGAGGGTGGGGTGACGCTGGAGGGCGGCAGGCGCTCAGGATCGCCAGTCTAGTGGCCCTCACCGAAGCCCAGGGCGTCGGCCCTCTACCCAGGAGCGTCTAGTTGTCAGGATGCGCTGGGGAAACGCCCTCCCGGGCTGAGCTGTCCGAACGGTTGGTCGAGTTTCTGGTGGGTGTCGTAGCACCCTGCAGGCTGCGGGAACTCTCTCGCTCTTTCTCCTACCCTACGCGCATACACAAACACACACACATAACTCTCCCACCCCCACCCCCACCCCGTTTTTGTTTTCGCGGGGAAGGCAGCTAACTACATAGTAAACATCACCCTAAACCGAAAGAGAAGTAGACTTTAAAAGTCTCTTGTGTTGACCTCAGACTCGGGCAATTTGTGGGACTCAGAGCCTGTGGTAGACCCTCGCGCGCTGTAGGCTGGGCCTGCGTGCAGAGACTGACTTCCATGGAAGAGTCCGGCAAAGGCTGCCATCAGAACCAGTGCCTCCTTTAACCTCTGGAATGCATTGCTTTTTTTTTTTTTCCAGGCTGACTTACTGCCTAATTGGGTTCAAGTGAGTGGGCTGGGTTCAAGTGACACAGCCTTTTACTGTGTCTGGCATGTTGCTCCAATTTATGCAAGCCAAGCAGGGATTTGGGGGCAGAGAACTGAGTGAGACCTTGGTGTGGGGTGATCAGTTGAGTCTTGTGACTGGCAGCAGCTGCTGCTTGTTTTGAATCTGAAGGTTCCATGGTGAGGCTGGGCTCTGAAGCCACGGCAGACCTGGGTTTGAGTTCACCAGCAACCAGGAGGTAGGATCTGACCAACCTGTGATCTGGCATAGTTTACCCCCAAAGCTTTGTACGTGTGACCTGTAAGATGGGGACAGTATCAGTATGTGACAAGACTGGTTTGAGTTGGCCCTTAGTGGGTGCCTGGTCTAGTCTCAGATGCTGGGGAGTGCTGAGGGCTAATATAGGGCCTCTTGGAGGTTTAAGATAACAGCTCCAACGATAATAGCAGATGCTTACATAGCCTCTTACTGTGTCTGGCATGTGGCTAAGTGGATTACAGACGTCAGTTAATTTATCCTCACAAGGGCACTGTTAAGTACTGTTGTTATTCTTATATTAAATGTAACAAAATTGAGGCAGAGCTCCAGGTCACCACAGTCAGTGTGGACCAGGATTCTAACTCCGTTATTCTCAGCCTCTGTGCTGCCTTGAAGGCTGTTGTATTTTTGTAAAGCACCATGGGGAAGGACTCTTTCTCCTCGAGCCTTGGAGCGATGCCACCTTAATAGCAAGAGGTTTGGGTTTGTTGATATTGAGGGCATTGAAACAGTGTAGCTTCTTATTGAAGCCTTAGGTGAAACAGATGAGCAGAGTGCATTTTCTGGAGAACCTTACCCTGGTTCTAACATAAATGTCCATCATTTTTACAGTGAGATGAACCTGGCTTCTTTGATGTTGGGCCATACTTGTGGGGTGATGAGAAGACAAGCAGGAGCCATTCTTATCTAGTGGTTCTTTGGGGTTTTATATACAACGCATTTCCTGTTTTTTATTAGTCTTTTCTATAGAGAAAAAACCAGTCTGGACAGAATAGGCAGGCCCTTAGTGTTGGCATGTAGCTTGCTAATAACACTGCCTAGTGCCTCTCACTACCTTAAGAATGGGCAAAGCAGGTGAGACAACCTACCTCCCCAGGATCGCCGAGCGCCTAGAGTCAACCTCCCAGCAGGCTTTGTGGACAGTAGAGAATGTAGTTCTGTAGTTGACCAAAGCCCAAATGTGACCTATATTAATAGATCATCAGGGGAGCCAGTGAAATACAGGCTCCTGGGCTCCACCCCTGGGTGTGGGTTTACTACCAG